GCATTCACCCTGTTTTTTTGTTTTTACTTCACAAAGACACTCAAACTTCCACAACTGCTTCAGCAAGCAGCAAGAAGCCTGGAATAAGTGTGTTCACAGTGAGGGGAAGTATTTCAGAGGGATTAATGGCAATATGTCTTTTACTGCAATAAATGTCTAAAATTTAAACATTCAGATGTAAATTTTGATCACAACTCCTATGTCAATACCACGTTTTTGTTTCCCCATTCATCTGCTGATGGACATTTGGGTTGCTTCCACATTCTGGCTGGTGTGAACATGAGTACACAAGTATCTGTCTGAGTAAATGATCTCACTTCTTTGGTAAATACCCAGGAATATAAGTACTGGGTCATATGGTCATCTTATGATTAACGGTTTTTGAGGAACTATCATATTGCTTTCCATTGTAACAGCACCATTTTACAGTCCCACTAGCAGCACTCAAAGAAGAGCTCCAATTTCTCTATATCCTTATTAACATTTGTTATTTTGTTTTGATAATAGCCATGGGAATGGGTAATATTTCACTGCTGCTGTGATTTGCATTTCTCTAATGATTAGTGATAGCAACTTTTCGTGTGCTTATTAGCTGTCTATCTTTGGAGAAACCTCTATTCATGAAGTTTGTAGTGTTGTTTTTTGTTGAGTTGTTCATTATACATTCTGGGTATTAATCCTTATTAAATATAAAAATATATGTTCTCTCATTTGATGGGCTTTCACTGTAATAGTGTTCTTTGATTCACAAAAGGTTTTATTTTTTATTAGTATGTGTTTGCATCACATAATGATTACATTCCTTGTGGTGAGTTGGTACATGTACATAACACATCTTAATTGTTTTATTCATCCCTTCTGCCTCCCTCTCCTCCATCTGTTGATCCTCTTCCCATTTGAACAAAATCTCTCTCCCTTCTTCCTATTATCTTTTATTTTGCTCATTATTTATATTTTGTGTTTCTTATATAAGAAAAATGAAGCAGTGTTTTTTTCCTATTAAGTTTATTGGTATATTTAAGGTATACAACGCAGTAACGTTCATCGTTGGGATCTTGTTCTTTTACATGACGTATCTTGGTTCTTATTTTTTCCCCATTCCCCTGCCCTCCCTTCACCCCCTCCACACTTCCCCATTTACAAAGAATTTGTTTCCATTTTTTCCTTTTCTTATATGTTTTCTTTTTCCTTCTTTACTTTCTCCTACCCTTCCCACTTCCCCTACTCCTTTAGACCTTTGCTTCCTATTTCACATTATTAAATTATACAGTTTGAACCTTATTCATACTTTGAGTTTTTCACACCAGATAAACTATCCAGTATTTACATGTGTATCCTATTTATTTCACTTAAGAGTATGACCTCAATGTGCATCCATTTAGCTATAAATGTCTCTAGTTTCTGGTTGTATGGCTGAGTAGTATGCCATTTTATAGAAAAACCACATCTTCTTTATCCAGTCTCCAGTTGATGGGGAATTGGGCTGTTTCCAAGTTTTAGTTATTACAAACTATGCCGCTATAAACATGGATGTGCATATACAGCTGTGGTATGATTCTTTTAATTCTTTGCAAAGATACCCAGCAGAGGGATAGCTGGGTCAAATGGGACCTCTAATCCTAGTTTTCTGAGGTACCCCCATATTGAGTTCAGTGGTTGCACCAGTCTGAACTCCCACCAACAACAGAGAAGGGTTTCGTTCTCCCAACAGCCTCACCAACATCTGTTATTGGTTGATTTCTTGATAGCAGCCATTCTTTGTGGGGTGAGGTGGAATCTCATTGTTGTTTTCATCTGAATCTCTCAAGTGACCAGTGATATTGAAAATTTTTTCATATATTTACTTGCTGTTTTTCCATGTTTGAGAAATGTCTGTTCATTTCAGATGCCCATTTTTGAATTGGGTCTTTATATTTGGGGTCTGGTTTTTTTAGTGAAACAAAGTAGTATTTAATCCCATGTATCTGATTTATTTCACTTAACACTATGGTTTCAAGGTGAAGCCATTTTCCTACAAATCATTCAAGTTTATCCTTCTTTAAGGCAGAGTGGTACTCTATTGCGAGTAAATATCACATTTTCTTTAATGCAATGTAACCTGATTTATCTTTTTTGTTGTTACTATGTTGTTGGTGCCATATCCAAAAAAATCTCACTGCCAAATCCAAAATCATGAAGATTTACAGTAAGTCCCCGATTTACAAATGAGTTCCGTTCATGGAGACAATCATAAATTGGATTCATTCATAATCTTCATAAAGTGAATACTGGACAGTAAAGAGAGTATCAGACAGTATGTCTGTGAATCTTAAACAGTACACCTATGAAAGTTTGCAACTCAAATGTTTGTAAGTTGGGGACTTACGCTACTGTGTTTTCCAAAAATTTTGTAGCTTTAGTTCTTTTTTGTTTTGTTTTGTTTTTATACATTTTATTTTGTCCCATTCCACGCCTTAAGCCTACCTCCTCCCTATGTACAAAAGCTTTGTTTCCATTACATTTATATATTTGGTCCATCAGTAATTTTCTTTTGGTACTGGGGATCGAACTCGGGCCCTTTTGCTTGCAGAGCAAGCGGGAAACCACTGAGCTAAATCCTCGGCCCCCATTCAGTAAATTTTTGTAAACAGAGGAAGGCAATTTAATTTTTGTCAAGTGAATGTTAGTTTCGCCAGTACAATTTGTTAGAAATTTTTGCTCCAGTGAATAGTGCTATTACTTCGAATGCTGAATGCTGTCAAGAGTCCATGTGTTCAAGGCTCAGTAGTCCCAAGGGTAGTGATACTGAGAAGTGGCAGAATATTTTCGAGGTGGAGTTTAGTGGGGGATTCTTAGGTCATTTGGGGTGCACCCACAAAGGCAACTGTGGGACCTGGGGCATCTTCTCTCTCTTTTGTTTCCTGGCCAGGAGATGAGCAATCTGTTCTACTACTCATTGCCTGTCACTTCCATCCAGTACCTTCCCCTTGAGGCCTAAAAATGATGAGTCTGCCTCATCATGGACTGGAATCTCTAAAACCATAAGCCCAGATAAAGCTTTTCTCTTTGTAAGTTAACTGCCTCAGTTATATCTTCTTTTCCCTTAGTTAACTATTTGAGAGTCCTTTAGGAGCCCCATATAAATTTTAGCATGAATTGTTCTACTTTTACATAGTATTGTTAGAATTTTGATAGAGATTACAATGAAACTATGGAGTGTTTTGGGCAGGATTAATATCTCAACAATATTAAGTATTCCAATTCATCAATAGATATCTATGTACTGTTTAATTTTTCAGCTACATTTTGCAATGTGTATAAATCTTTCACCTTTTAGTTAAGAATATTCCTAAGTATTTCATTCTATCTGATGCTTTTGTACATGGACAGTGTGTGTGTGCATTCCAAACTGAGGTCAAAAACTTCAACTTCTGTTCACACCCTTCAAAGGCTACTACTACCACACAGAAGCCCTACGCTTGCCTGGGGAGACCACATGGCCTGGCCAACCTTCGGCACAACTGCTAGAGACATGAGCAGTAATTTTAGAAAGACCATTCAGCTGCTTTAGTCAAGCTGTCCAGGTGAGTGCAGTCACTTGAAAATCCCCAGGTGAGACCAGCAGAAGAACCTCTTACCTGAACCTGAACAAACTATTACTGTACAAAATGGTGAGCAAATCAAAGTTATTGTTTTAAGTCATTAAGTTTGGGGGTGGTAGCAAAGACTATCTGATCAGAATTAAATCATTCTATTTAGTATTTCTTAACTATGATAATTTATTCAGTACTTGTAGCTCACTTATTTCAAACTATTTCCCAGAGGCCATTAAGAGTTATTCCAACTAAGATAGAGTTCTTTGATGCTAAATATTCTACATTATTAATCGCAGTCATGAATGATTTAAAGTTCAAATGTCAGCATCCTAAATAATTAATAATTTTAAAAAAGTAGTTTACAATGATATCTTACTAGAACTAAAGAAACAGATTCTGTTTTTACAGAATCTTACTTTGTCATTGAAAACAGTAAACAGATTTCACAGTTAATGTTTTCAAGCTAATTTGTAAATCACACTGCTAATATTTGCCAACAAATACTACTAAATTTATAGAGGACAGGTTTAAAAAATTTTTAATTATCTTGTTATAAAATTTAGAAGAAAAAATTATGAGAAAAGCACTTAAAAATACAAAGCATTTAGCAACACGGTGTCTAAGCAACATGGCTTAATATTAAAATTTATAAATAATATGTATCTAAAATATTATTAATAATGCATCTATGAATAAATTATAATTTTACTTAGAAAGAAATCTTCCAGAATGCTATACAAATATAACAGATTATTTAAAACTTTATTATATAAAGCAATATTTAAACCACAGAAGTTTTACTTCATTAATGATTAATTTGAAGATTTTATTCTTTCAAGTTCTGGATATAATTGCTTTAAGAAACATTATCTGTACTCTCTTCATTCTTTAAAGAAAATATTGAGCAGGGAAGAAAAGTATCAAGAGAAAATGTAACAAAGCAATAAGGCCCAATTTTACACTAAAGTTTGTAAGTTATCTAGGACTACTCTTTCTGACATACCAAGTGGAAATAACACTTAAGTAGAAACGAATTCAGTTAACTTTCAAAGTTGAATCAAATTTCTCACTGTTTATATCATAAACATCTTTGCATCATTTATAGTAGCCAAGTTTACTGTCAAAGTATCTTATATTTGCATTATTAAGAATCTCTTTTGAAATAGTTGTCATTTTAGTTTTAAGGAGTCCTAAAGCTTTAAATACAAGCTATGATTTATTCAATCATAGGAAACTATTCATATTTATATTTCAGGTACATTTCTGCAAGCAAACTATTTTCACTAACGCATATATATGGCTAAATATTCAATGTTAACAGTCTAAAGTTTTATATGCACACAGTTCATACTTACGGACAAAGCGTCTTGAAGTGATGATAAAATACAGGAGAAAACATAAATACAAGAATTGAAATGTACTTACAAAGTCAAAGTCTCCATCTTGAGGAACTTTCCAGTTATCAGGAAAAACATTTTTGGACATAGGGAAGGGCTCATGCACATTCTGATTACAGTTTTCATGACTCTTATTCTTGAAATCCTGCTTATCAAAGTAGTCCATGAAAGACGGTCTTTGTACTTGTGGTGAAGTTGTGTTTCCTTAGGTAAACAAAGAACATAAGGTGGGTATAAGCTCTTATAGTTAAAGAAGGATGATTTTTATTGAAGTGTGGTTTTTTATTGAGCCATATAAATTTGTACTGGTCAGATTCAAGGTCAACAAGTCAATTCATGAAGAACAAAGTAAAATAAAAACATGAGTGAAAAAAAGGTATCCAGACCAAATAAAAATTAAACCATTAATCAGGCAAAGATATAAAATATTCTTGTAGAAATATTTCAGAACTTTAGCACAACTTCTATCATAATTTTATTAAAAATCTTTCTTTAGGTGCATTTGAAATTTGCCAAACTTTAGCACAACTTCTATCCTAATTTTATTAAAAAAATCATTCAGGTGCATTTGAAATTTGCCAAAGAAAATAAATTTTTAAAACCCAAGTGTTTTTGGTGCTCTTTTTACATTTAAGTCTGCATTGTTATTGTAATTACATATTTTCATCTGTAAGAAATTATAAAGACTTACCCAGGTTCCTCTTATATCTATTTCATTGCTTTCTTAGTCTTTCTAGTTGACTCCTTTGGCACATGGACTTTCATAGCTTTGTCACATTTATATCCTTATCCTCAAAGTTAATTCTGAAGCTTAGATCTTGCTCGTAAGTTCTAAAGCTAACATTGCAACTGCCTGCTAATGTTATTACTTAGTCTGAGGTGAGTCTGGGTTACCAGTTAGTTTTCCAGTTCTGAAACTTAACACAAAGATCTTTCCCTTCAAACCTGCAACTCCTACATTCTCCACCTCTTCCAAGGTCAACACTATTTACTCAATCCCCAAAGTAATATAGTTAAGATTTAACTCAGATGCCTCTCTTCTTATATCAAACAGATCATTATGTGTTTTAAATTCTACTTCTCAATAGAATTGTTTAAAGCTAAACTTTTTCTTTTTATGATCAATTGTCTTAGTTTTTAATCATTTGTTGCCTATGCCTCCAAATCCAGTTTTGATTTTATACTGTGAACTTAGTGATATTTCAAATACAAATCAAGCCACATCATTCTTCTGCTTAGATTTTTACAATGACTCCATATTTTTTCTTGAGCCGTTAAACTGGAAAATAAACTTGGAATAACAGAGTTTTAATCTAGTGGCTAAGATTTTGATCAATATTTTCTAAATTGGACTCATTCCAGACCTAGGGCTCCAAATAAATGTTCCAGAGACTAACAGAAGGCATTTCCCATACAATTCTTCAGATAGAAAGTAAGCCACCTTCTTGAAAACTTCTTCACTGGTGTATGGGCAATTGAAATTTGTGTAATTTACATTCATATTATTGATAAATTTCTCTTTCATATATTTGTTTATAAAATGTTGGAAGACAGAGGAAATTACTTCTGTGTTGACTATTTTTCAGATGAAACAGTCCTGGTTTCTTTCACATGACATGTTTTTCAAACTAGTCACCATATTATTTACTAGTCATCACCATACCTAATTGATTGGGTGGTTTTTAAAACAATAGTAGAATACATGTAACATGAAATATACCCAAAAGATTGAAAGCAGAATCATGAAGAGATATTTGTACACTCATGTTCAGCACAATGTTATTCACGATGAGTAAAACATGGAAGCTACCCAACTGCCCATGAACAGAATGGATGGACAAAATGTGAGGAAGGAAATTCTGAGACACACTACATTATGGATGAACTTTGAGGATATTACAGTAAGTGATGTGCACCAGTCACAGATAGGCAGATACTGCATGATTCCATTTTTATGAGGTACTTAGAAGGTTGTCAAAATGAAAAAGATAGAAGTGAAATGGTGGTTGCTAGGAGCCAGGGGAATAGAAAATGGGAAGTTAGTAAAGTGTGTCAGTTTTACAAGACAGAAGCATTATGGAGATAGACAGTGGTGATGGTGGCACATTATGTATTTAATACTACTAAACTGTACATTTAACATGGTTAAAGACGGTATATTTCAATTGATGAAATTACATAAATTTAACCCTTTCAGACAGTAGGAAACAGGGAGGCAGACCTTTAGGAGATTGGAGGAGGGGATGATGGAAAGTGTGCAATGTTAAGTATTATTTAGTGTCCAATCTTCAGAGATCCTTTTAGCTTGTAAATATAGGTCTCTACCTATTAAACAATAACTCTCCATTCTCCCTCCTCTCAGCCTCTAAAATCTACCATTTCATTCTGTTTTCACGAGTCTCACTTAGTCTAGATACTTCATATAAGGGGAATAATTACAGTACTTGGGCATGTGTGTGTTTACTAAACCCAGGGCCTTTGCATACATCTCATGCCCTTATTTTACTTGTTTCTTTTAGAAGACAGGTCTTGCTAAGCTACTAAGCTGCCCAGGATGGGCTTGAATTTTTTATCTTCCTGCCTCAGCCTCCTAGACTAGGAGTATTTGCCTTTTTTTCCCCCCTTCCCCATCATGACTGGCTTATTTCACTTAACATAATACCAGAATTCCCTTACTTTTCCAGGCTAAATAATATTCTATCAAATGTATTATACCACTTTTTGTCCACTCATTTGTTAATGGTTGCTTCCATCTTTTAGCTATTTGAAATCATGTTGCTATGATCATGGATATACAAATATCTCCTAGAAACACTAGTGATTATGTGTTTTTAACTATTGTTTCTCTATTCATGTACAATTCCATATTTGCAGGTGATCTCATTCTTAATACATACACAGGAACCTTTTCAAATTTTTCTTGTGGTCATTTTGATGGATGCATTTAATTGTTGATCAAGTGAATCATTATGATATACTATAAATGTGACTAATATTATTAGTAAAAGTAATATGTTTATTTTTATTTTTTTCAGCCTGTGGATCATATCTTTCAAATATGTTTGTCTCTACCTTTCATTAAACTGTAAGTTCCCTAATGCAGGAACACAAATCATTTTCCTAAATAATTTCACAAACAGATAATCCTATTTATGAGTATTTTTTACTATCTACCCAGATGTTCAATAGGTATCAAAGTGAGGAGGAGCTATGAAATACTACATATTTTTTTGTCATTATTATTTTTTTCCCATTTAGTTTATTGGTATATTTAAAGCAAACAATACAGTTACATTTATCATTGAGATCTTGTACCTTTATATGATATGTCTTGGTTCTTGTTTTTTACCTGTACCCCTGGCCTCACTTCACCCCTTTCTCATTATTATTTTTTTCCCATTTAGTTTATTGGTATATTTAAAGCAAACAATACAGTTACATTTATCATTGAGATCTTGTACCTTTATATGATATGTCTTGGTTCTTGTTTTTTACCTGTACCCCTGGCCTCACTTCACCCCTTTCTCATTATTATTTTTTAATCAGTGGAGGCTACTAATATTTCATTATTATTAACCTTGCACTGGTGATAATATACTTGAGAAATTATTGTGACTATTATAAATATTAGAATAATCCCAGTGGAGTCAGGAAGAATCTAACACTATTCGGACTATACCAACTAATAGAAAAATAGAAAGAGACTGAATATAACTGTCTCTCTAAGGACACAGTCTTTAATTACAGCTGTTCAGCTGTTGAAAATAAATGTGTTAAAATAGCTAGAACCCAAATTGTACCCACTGAAAACATACTGAGATATCTCACCAAAATTAGAATAGGGGCAAGGCATGTAGTTTATTAGTAGAACACTTGTCGAACATGTGCATGGTCTTGGGTTTGATCTCTAGCACCAAGAAAGAAAGGGAAGGAGAGATTAGAATGGTATAAAATATCAATAAGTCTGTTAAACCCTCAGAACTTAGAACACTCTCATTCCACATACAAAACAAGAAATTCCTTAGGAACAGGTATAAAGATAATGGCCAAAGCTGCCTATAGATTTCTGGCTAGAACAGACTCTACTGATATGTCCAAATAAACACACACACGCACGCGTGTGTGATGTTACATATTTTAATGATTGATAAATATGTTTAAAGACTTCGTGTTTATGTTGTTCATCTTTACTTTGTTCCCCAAAAATCCCAGGAAGCAAAAAAGGAAAGAAGGGAGGGAGGAAGGGAAGAAAAAAGGATGGGAGAGAGGAACTGTTTAATCTGACAAGGTTAACAGGTTACCAATATTTGGATGGAACACATAACATTCCATTAACCTTTTCAACAGATTTCAAGTACCCTTGATTTGTTTCTGGGCCTCATTATTACATGACATATTTCTCTATCTTCAGAATTGAAATCTGGTTCCTATGGCAACCTCTTATTACAAAATACGTCTAGAAATTTAACTTTCATTATTCTCTACTTTTGTCCCATTTTATGAGAGTAAGGAAAATGAAACAAACCCACATATACACATTCAAGTATAGCTAAACTTACACAAAGTTTATATAAAATACTTGAGTATATCAAGACATAAAAGAGGAAATGGGAGATAATCCCCTAAGGGAAATCTTTGCTCAATATTCTTTTCTTTTTTTTTAATTCTGAGGGGTCAAAACCGGGGTTACTGCACATGCTAGGGACATGCTCTACCAGAGTTCATACCCAGCCCAAGAAGAGTTAAGTCTGTAATGAAATTACATATTTAATTGTATTCTAAATTCTAATTTTTATCAGAAAGTCTTAAACTGGTGACACACATAAAGATATCTGAAAACTTTAATGTTTAGTATAATAAGTGTTATTAATGTTATATAGGGAAGTCATATTCAGAGAGGAAAGGAAACTTTTTGGGGAGCGAAGTAATGGTTGGGCAAGAAAGAAACTCATTAAGGCCAATGTTACCAACTGTATTTGACAAGTGTATAAAAATGTTTCACTGAAACGTATTTCAGTATTCTTTTAAAAGTACATTCAGTATTTGAAAGTATTTTGCTACAACACACACGTGCATGCACAGAGAGCATTTTCAATCCATTGAATCCATTAAAGAAAACAACACTTCCTGACCAATATCCCTCCCCAAATCTTCCCCCTCTCTCCATCCCAAGCCAGGACCACTGTTCTCACTATTTTTCCTTC